GCGTTATTATATCTCAATGCGGATTATCAATTTGATTGAATTACTATTTTTATTATTCACAATAAACATCTAAATACACCATACTTTTGAGTGAGTAATTGAAGCGAAAGAGTAAAATAACAACTGTCTTGTCACTACTGATTGCACTACACAGTTAAACAGTATTATTTCCCGGATTGGATGCTCATTTCCCCCAATCCAACAGTTATTTCATAATCGTAGAATAAAAGTGACATACAGTCAGTCAGATGTGAAACTGGTAACATACCTTGAACTAGTGAATGTCTAACAAAAGATTTCCAACAAGAGTAAAGATAACGAGATTCATAGAATACAGTGAGGACGCTTCATTTCACAGCTTCTCATTAGCTAACAAACAACATTAACTGAATACAAAACACGTATGAGATAAAACGATTCACATGCTTTAATGGTGGGACAGAAATTACATTATGCAGTTGGGAAGTGAAATTGTATAGATAACATTATGTGAAAACCACAAAATGTAATGTAGAGTTGACCTATTTATCGGTGGAACAGAAGATTTTAAAGTTTTACCACAGAGTATCAAAATACTTTATCAGGAAATAAATTTTGTCATCTATCAGTCTATCATCCTGAACATCTCTTCACCCTTTTACTCCAAACAAGGGGATCAGTACATACTCGCCTCATAACATTATCTTAAGGTCAAAAAGTTTGAAACGCATGTTACAAATATTCAGACTTCCACGAATATAATTCCAAATATTTTAAACAACTTTTGAATTAAATAAGTATCAAGGAGTTCACATTTGTCTGAGACTAAGGCGTTTCAAAGTCCACTCTTACCTTAATTCCAAATGGCTCATCTCTCTCAAATTACTTCAACATATGAAATCATCCAGTATATACTTCTTTCAATAACCGTGAAAACGAAAAAAACATCACTAAATTATACCTGAACCTCTCGCATTTTCAACTCAAAGCGAATGAATTCAAGGGTAATATTTATGGTCGGTAACATCGCCTGGACTACTAGCTCGTTAGTCTTCTAGCCAGTCCAAGGCCCCGATAAACAGAAAGGGTCTGGTGTCGGGGTACAAACTGTACCCCCGAAAATCAATCTAATCTCTACAGAAATTACAAACCACAAGAAAAATACAAAAAACGAACTTATTCGTCACTGAGATCGGAGAGACGAAATTACACAGCAGGCTGGTGAAACCCCGGCTTTGGGAAGCCAATCAGCCGATGTGTCTTCTCTCTATGAAAGCAAAGAAATGTTCGTACAATGTACGAAGCCGGCTGGGAAGGCTGCCCAGATAGCCAAAGAAATGAGAAGATGTAGTATAGAGGTGCTAGGAATCTGCTACAGCAGATGGAATGGATGTGGACTGTCGAAACTGTCAACCGGAGAGTCAGTAATCTATTGAGTCAGTGAGTGACCATCATGATGTCACCGACAACAACCAGAGCTCTTATTCATTGACAGCCGGTTTTCTCCAGCAGGATAATCACAGCAAGATCCAACTCACAAGGAAGGAAGATCACAATTATCCGATGATACGCACAGTGCTACAAACAACACGGAATAAGACAAGAAGGAAGATTTCTATAGACAAGAGCACCAAGTGGTGATATCAAAATCCTCATGGGCGATATGAATGCCAGCTGAACTGGGAGCAGACAATGCAGGAAGAGGACTCATCATGGGCCCGAGAAGCTCTCGGCCAAATGACGAATGAGAACGGAGAACTCTTCTCAGACTTCTACTCATTCGATAATTTGGTGGTTGGAGGTGGCGTCTACAAGCACAAGGATAAACACAAGGCGACAGGGATTTCACACAACGGAAAAACCGAAAATCAGGTAGTCCTCTGCTCAAGTCAGTGGACACACAGCCTGATCGATACAATGTCGGAAAGGAAGACATATGTGGGCTTAGATCATTATCTTAGTGCAAGCAACCTTCAGCGTGAAGCTGAAATCCCTCAAAACAGCTGGAGACAGGCCACTGTAATTCAAGTTCAACATTCAGATACTGAAGGACAAAACTACAAGGGAAACGTTCACTACAGCCATCAGATCAGAGCAAAGTCGGAGACACTACGTGCCACCCCTGAGGAAACCTGCATGGAAGATACATTGGAACTAACTCTTTGAAGATAATGTTCAAGAAAACGTGCACATCCATTTTAGGAATAAAGAAGAGGAAAGAGAAAGACAAGGAATGACTCTCAACGGACACCTGCAAGCTAACAGAGGAGAGGAGAGAAGAGGAGGATGGTGAAACACAAGATGAACCAATGCAGAGATGGACAACAAAACGATAAGCCTAGCTCAATGGATATCAAACTGAATGAAGAAGTGAAGGAGAGTGCTAGGAAAGACAAAAGACAATTCTACGACACACCGGAAGGCAATTGAAGCAGAACAGGTAAGCTGCAAGCAGAAGACACCTCAGGACATTATATCAGATAATCAAGTCTATCGCTATCCACGAAGAGACCAACCAAAATGATGACGCCCATAAAAGATGTTCAAGAGGACCTGATTACCAAGGCGGAGAAACAAAACACACAATGGGCTGATCACTTTAAAGGACTCTTGAAACGACCATCACCTGCAACTCGCCCAGAAATACCATCAACGCCAACAGCACGCACGGAACTGCTTACCAGTGGATGCCAATCCTTCAATGAAAGCAGAAATCCTAAATGCGACCAGGCTATTGAAGTCTAGCCGGGAAGCAATAAAAATGGATCCAGAGACTGCGGCAGATGTCCTCACCCCATTACTGTATAAGATTTGGAAAGATGCGAAGGTTTCTATGGATTGGAAGAAAGGTTGGCTACCTCGTCAAGCTGTCAAAGAAGGGCGACTTAGGCCTTTGCAAGAACTGGTGTGGAATAATGCTCTTGTCCACGCTAAGGGAAATGCTAAGTCATATCATCCTGGACAGAATAAAGGGTTCACTGGATATCGAACTCTACTAACCAGGAACAAGCTGGATTTAGGAAAGGCGAATCATGTGCTGATCAAATCGCAACTCTACGCTTCGTCGTCGAACAGACAGCGTATAGAATGGCAGTCAAACCTCTACCTCAACCTACTTCATCGACTCCAAAAGGCCTTCGACAGACAGCGTTGACCCCGAAGCAATTTGGAAACTCCCTAAACACTATAGCGGGCAGTTCCCAAGTATTTATCAACCTAATTCAACAACTGGCTAGATGACAATGTCACGTGTTAGGTGATCCACAAAGGAAGACTCAGGGAGGCGTTCGAAGTGCATACAGGAGTAGGACAAGGCTGTCTATTATCACCAATGATATTCTAAATTGTGGTGGACTGGGTTATGCGTCGGACTTTGGGTAGCGAGGAGACAGGAATACGCCGGACCACAGATAAGAAGACTCTAGAAGATCTAAATTTCGCAGGTGATTTATGTTTAATTTTACACAAACTCGAAGACTTGCAGGCGAAAACTAACGAACTGGCAGAAGAGGCAGCAAAAACAAGAATACAAGTGAACACAGAAAAAATGGAGGTAACGAAGACAACCTACCAACAACAGCAACAATAACAACAACCAGCACCAATCAACATCAACGGGAAAAATTAGAAGGAGGTCACTCCCTTCACTCATCTTGCTAGGCACCATCATTCTCACTACAGGCGGCAACGATGGGGACGTCAAAATTAGAATCGGAAAGCAAACGCAGACATTCATCACTCTCAAACCAGTTCGGAAATCTCTGACATTCAGCATAAACAATAAAATTTGGATTTCCAACGCCAATGTTGAGTCAGTAACTTCTATATGCGTCTGAAACTTGGTGCGTCACGAAAAGCATTTCCAACAAGCTACTGCAGACTTTTATCATCCGCTGACTTTGATGACACCATACTGAGGATCAAATAACCAGTAAGAATTTGCAACAAGAAACTTTGGGAAAAAACCAACCAAAAACATACTGCTCAACAAAATATCCCGAAGAAAGTGGAGATGGATCGGACACACGTTGAGGCAACCGTCGAATGACGTCACACATTTCAGTCAAACTCGAATGGTAAACGAAGAGTGGGGTGTCCGAGCTATAATGACTCCTTGTGTAAAGATAGATAGTGAGGTGGTAGAGCGTGTTGACCAATTCACTTGTTTGGGGAGTTGCATCAACCAACGCCAGCGAGTTGATAGCTGACGAAATCTCTGCATGGATATAGAAGGCTCGTGTGGTATTTGCCTGCCAACTTACACCATCTCTGACTTAGTAAACGTGATATCCAGCTGGCTGTCAACCAATGAGCGTGTATACAGCTCATGAATTCGCTCCGTCCTACTTTACGGCTGGCTGTGAGCAAGACATGGCCACTGAAAGTGGAAGACATGAAAAAGTCGGCTAGCTGTCTTTCATCATAGACATCTGCATCCTATGTCCCGTGTTAGGTGTAATAGGGTGAATAATATTGAGGTTAGGCATTGGTCGAGTGAGTGCTAGGTGAGGAGAGAAAATCAATCGATGAGGTTGTGAAGTTACATCGACTGAGATTGTTGGGAATTATGTTACGCATGACTGCCTAGACATCCATCGCCTTCCTCGACAATGGGCAATGTTAGCTGACTGACACAGGATGGATCAAGTCGGAAAGAGCTAGTGGTGGTCAAGCCAAAATATGACTTCACAAGTCAACGAAATCCACAACATTTAGTTTAAGCCACGTAGGGAGATGTAGGTAACTTCATGGTTGGTGTCCTTCAGATGGTAAAAACAAGTGGCTGGGGACAATCAGTGATATGGTTCAAAATCGTTCTGTGGCGCTGGTGCAGATGCACTCACTCTTTATGATTTATCATGTCCAATAAAACTCTACTTTTCTTCCGTATTACTATTCTTTTTGCACCACACTTCGACTTATTATCTCACTTTTGAATCTCCCTTTATTCTCTTCTCTTACTTTGTGCGGTACGTTATGTTTGGCAAATCGAACTGCTGCACATCTATGCAAAGTTCTACGTTGAAATCAGTCAGTCGTTCAGGGGCGTCCGAGGATGATATGGAGAAGATTGTGAGAGGAGATGAGAGACTACTACTACAGAAGCTGTTGTAGTGAAGATATTCTCCGGTTCAGGTTTCTTTTCTGTAGATGGATTTTTCGACCGTACCATCATTTCTGCTTCTTGCATTAGGTCCAGGAAATTCAGCTCATCGTTGCGTTCATATTCCATACTGAATTGAATGTTTGGGTGGATCATACTAAGACGGTCAAATAATACAAATGCCTCATTCATTTCGTTACAAACAACAAATGTATCATCGACATATCGACTTCTGTCCTAAAGCTATAAGGCTGGATTAGTAGGGACAGAGCCAGGAAGTTATGTTCGCCCAACAAGATGGAAGAAGAATCAATCAAGTCGTGTTAAAAATGCCTAAGGGGAATTGGGTAACAAACAGGATTTATCCAAAAGTACAACAAAGAAAACGACGAGAAAACCAAGCATCCAACTGTTGGAAAGTGATCATCTGTCTCCCATTCAGAGGAAATGCGGTATCACAAAACATTGACAAGAGAATGAAAGGAGCAATAAAAAATGCTTCCCTGTGCCTAAGCTCGTAACGCCACACAATACAGCACCGCGTGCTCCATAAGGAAGTCTAGACTGGATAAAAGCCCTACTGATTTCACCTCCAACTGCGTCTATAAATTTACGTGCATTTCCGGGAGCAAGGACACTGCAGGGACGAAAGAATGGCTTCCATCCGGCTTTCAGAGCGTAACTTAAGAAACTTATGAATTAAAGGACGCAGATATTCGCAAAGTGCAACTAACAGACACCTTGTGGACACGGGCCATTTCGTCAACATTTCTAAGTCCTTCAAAATATTAAACGTACAAAGGACGGAAAATTCAATACTATTTGATGAAACAATTGCAATCAAGCGTTTCAAACCAAACTTATACATACAGAAAGAGGGTGTAATCAATCTCTCACTACCTTCGTAACTGCATTTTGATTACATTGATTAGTCATCCATATTAGTGATTTCAACTCACTGAGCAAGTTCTCAATTTTATGAACAATAACCTTCTTGAGTTGCTGTGCAAACCTACATGCTAAAACTGTTTATTAGATTTTTCTGTTTTCTATCTTCTCCTCCACCCCCACCCCACCTGCTTTTCTATTTTGAAAGCATATTAACTGACGGTAACTTAAACCAAAAATTGCAGTGCTTAAATTTCAGATGCGTTGATTTTATGATGATTTCTTTACCACTATTCAAACATTGAATTGTTATTGCCATTATCTATAGGCACTTTAATTTCAGGTAGTCTGCAGATGATGAGAACCTGTGAAATAGAATGATATCAATTTTAGCTGTGAATTCGCTCTTTCTCTCATTATTGAGACACACTTCTCACTCGTCTGCGGCTTTTTAAAAGAAGCCACCTACAAATCTCAAGTCACATGGCAACAGGATATTCTATTTTAAAAATAAATTTTATTCCAATGGTGCTTAGAAATTGAGAGATGAAAGCTTACCTCCTTTCCGTAGTACGTCAGAAGCTCCTGAAATTTCGGAATATCCTAAATGTTAGTTGACTCAACGGAACATTGGCTTACTTTGCATGCTCTGTAGTATATCTTCCCCCTATATTGAACTGTCACGAGGTTTTGCTCCTCATCGAATCTGGCGCAATTAACGAACTATAGTAAACAAAAACAATGGGAGAAAGTGTTGCAGTAAAAGCTTCTTGTATTTTGTATAATGGGCTGACGTTTTTTCACAGCACAGCATAAATAATTACTAACTTTCAATAACACATTCTGCTTATTTTAGCCTCGATGCAACACTATCTTAATGTGTTTAAGAAACCAGCGTTTCTGACAGTACGCCTAGGTAGTTTATGTAGCATTTTCCCTATTATTATAACTGTCATCAATGCAAGTTGTGGTACATTATAGTCTCCCGCACAACAAAGACTCAGTTAGCATTCCTGTCAGGAGATTCCACTTACTTATCTGTGCTTAATACTCAACATCATATAACATAATTGAATCATGAAATAAGCAAGTATTAGAAAGTGCATACATTGTAGTCAGAATATATTAACCCTAACATTGGTGGGATTCTGACACCTTAATCTTAGTTGAAGGACAATTAACAATTGAGGAGTTAACTGCCACCTCCCCACACCACTATGGATTATATGCATACATTTATTACTATGAAATTTACACATGCAGTTGGACTTCATTGCAATTGGTGAAGCAATGAGGTACCAATAGGAATGAAACGAGAAAACAAATCAAGTGTGTATGTAAAGTAAAATTACTTTCTTATCAATGCATATTATTGCCCAGAAACACAGATAAACACCTAAAAGGAGATTCTATGTCATATTGAATACTGTGTGAGATACTGTTCTTTTCCCGATACACTAACACCTGCATCTACACCTGACCTACATTCAACTCATCACAACAAGCAGTTCAAAAGAAATCCTACGTTTGGGAAATATGCACAGAATAGTGTGTTGATGTAGCATTCACAACACTGTCGCTACATCTTCACACGAATAAGGTCAAGAGTTAAGACAAGGGTGACAATTTCGTAACATATTTTCACTGAAACACGAACTGTTATATTTCAAGAAGACTAACATCACTGTTGGAACCATGTGTTTCCAAACCGGCAAGTAAAAATTATATATATAAATATATATAAACAACTGATACAAAAAGGTACCATGGAACTAATGACGCTGCAACATTCCGCCCAGTATGAGTGCCTCAACGTGGTGAAGTTTGATGGGCTGGTCATCTAATTAAAACATAGGGAACCAATACTTGTACAACTTGTACTTAAATTATGAATGACAAACCATCGACCTACTCAGTCATTACACACACGTATTTAAGCCAGGAACCATTTCAGCTCTATGGTCGCAATGATGGGACCCAGCATAAAATAGTATATTGTCCTTTCTCACAAATCGAGTGGTTTATCTTGTGATGGAGTTACTATGTTAATCTATCATTTCTCACCAGTATTGTGATTTACTGTGTGATCAATTCATCATCCTCTGTCTCGCCTTAAGCTTTGTCGGGCCGTCAACTGATCAGGATTGACATTTCCAGCCAATAGGAATAATTCATTCTCGCGGCGATGTATAGCATATGATGTTTTGTTTCCTAACAAATGTAGAATACAATATCTTAGAGTCACAGGCCAGCCTTTGTCTTTTGATATTTGCATGACTCAGTGAATCGGAAGGTACAACGGACGAATAGGCGTATTAGCGTACCAGTCGAGTTCATTACCGTTATAAAAATATTAACAAGCGCAGACATAACAATTTGGCGACGGGTTTATTCAGTCCAGTGCAGCTATAAAACACAGTATTTCATTAAGCATGGCAACCAAAAAGCTTCAGAATCATCGTAGAGAACAATGGGACGACGACTACTAAAAAGTCATACCTTCTATTCCATCAAAAGAATAATTAAGGCTTTGTGGGGTAAAATCTAACAAATCATTGTCCAATAAGGAATACATGAAATCACACACAAGGTTTACAAACAACTGACAAAAATTTCAGACACAACCTCTAACCAAACCAACTGCATGTAAATACTCTGATTAGTCTAAAGAACAGCTCAACATAATTCAACAGTAGATACGAGCATTAAATTAATTCTGTGACAAGAATATAAAGTCTAACCAAAACTAATTACAAAACTTACTCTTAACCAGTTAGAATTCAAACAGTTTCGAGCGTCAATCAAGTGTGGCCTGACACCATCTACATTTGCTCTTACAAGCCATGCATACCCTCCGCGTGATCTCTGAAATTGATGAAGCAATTGGATTCTTATGCAGTGCTTGAAACGAAACATTCATAGTTAAGTAAGGTTATAAAATCACTTTGTGTGTAGGCGAAAATGTCACAGAGATTTGGGTAGTACAAATTCAGAGACTTACTTTGAGTTGCTCATCACTACTCATTTCATCCACATAAGCAACCTGTCCACCATATGGACCGAAGATTGTACCGCACTCTATCTTTGCATTGGCAAAAGCGCCAAGGCCCGCACCAGGAATTCGGGATCTCAAAATCTTGATCCATTCTCCAGGTGCAGTTTTCGCCGTGTGCTCATAATACGACTGTCCGCATACACACTTGGTTTTCTGGTGGAAAGCAAACTTATCCTCTGCTTCTTTGCAAACAAACAAAGGTAAGTTTTCAATCCATCGGACAGGATGCTCGAAACAGCCATCCATCACTGAGCGTTTGCATGTGTAGCAATCTGAATAATACAAAGGGTTGAAGTAAAAATCAGAACAATTCCTATAGAAGGTTTTTAATTGGTTACTAAATTCTACAACAAATTGTATTCTCATGATGACACTTACTTTTAAGAGTAAGGACTTAGTGTTAATAACTATTTGAAGAAACAACAATGACACTAAGTCACTTTTTGAAATCACCACAGACAACGCGACATAATTTCATACAGGCCTCTATGAGAAATAAATTCTGCATTTCAGTGTTTCCACACCAATGGAATGCTTCAAGTACAACTGCTCTCTGTTTGCATTTAACTTTAGTCGACTGAAACATAGTTAATCGAATACCATCTTTTCCTTATTTCTACCTTCTCATAAACGTCTCGAGGACTGTGGTACACCTCAAGCATGGATTTAGTTCATACTTATTTACGAGTTACTCAGATGCAGGATAAACTACGCATTCATTTTTAATTTCTACTGATAAAACATGCCATAAAATGTAGTTGAAACGTTCACTAAGGAGCCATCAGCTTGATACATCTGACTGAAAGCCTTAAAAGATAACAGTGATAATCACAATCTCAAAGTACTTCAAAACTAACAGTCTTTTATTAAAATAAGAGCTGTTTAAACATCTGCTAACCACCTAAGTGTGCAAACACAAAAAATTAAATCCTGATGTATAACAAGTAAACCTACTTTAAACTATACGAAACTTACACAGGTACCTATCATCTTCGGGGATCTTTATATCTGCAGCGTAGTTTGGCCGTTCTATGTTTCTCTTCGGATAACGACTGCCTATAAATCGGTTACCTTTATTATTTTCACTTATCACCTTCAGAATCGGTAAGCTCCATCAATCTAAGAGTTCCGGAGTGGGCTTCTGTTTCACCTGAGATTTCCCCAGTTGTCCCGCTACATCCACTTCGTAACTCAGGTGCCCACTCATCACCACTGCTTAGGCAGTCACTACCACTATCTGAAGATAGTTCGGACCTTCTTCTCCTTCTTTTTGGCTATTTAAATAATGAAAAATCATTTTGAAATCTGCATACCTTTGAGCTGTGTGGTGGGACTACAGGCTTTGTTGGTTTTCGCTTCGTCAACCTTCTTTCCGTTGACTTTGTACGTGTGCATGAGGCAGACACCTTCGGCTAATTCATCAGAAAATTCAAAAGAATTATATCACATTTGTCAAAACAAAGCAAAAACTAAGGACAAAATGTTACAAGAACAGTTGAAATGAATTCTCCACTTTAAATGCATTTTCATATCACATTATTAATTAATTTCCTAAATGCACTTTCCTCCACAAGGAAGAAGGTAGGAGGCAATTCCGTCAACATGATGTGCAGCCCATTCACTTTCAGGTAGCTGTTAACACTACTTAGTACCATTCACACGTCACCATGAATTTAAAAAACTAACGTTGTAATTTACGAGATAATGAATTTTATTTACTCTCTCCTCTTTGCGTGGTTCTCTAACTTCCGTCCTTAGTGCAGGACAAGTATTGAGCGGACTATGATTATATTATTCAGCCTACGAATAAACTGGCTTTCAACTGAAGTGCATCAGTTCAACCTGCCAAAAACCACCTAGAATATGAAGGATCAGCAAAAAAAGAACTATAATGTACAAAAATATACGAAAGAATAGTAACATGGAAAAACGTGACATTGAATGGGAATGAAAGGTCTCAAAGAGTGAATGCATCCCCAGCATTGAAAACGATTTTGAGCCATGTCACCAACAGTCTCAAGTCATTGGTTCTTAGCACTTCAACAAAATCAACAAAGCAATCCATGCCTTCCTATATGGGTCATTTTATGTGCATCTAGGTAATTCACTACCTTCCACAGTAAGCGAAACAAATACCTCCAAGAGCCCTAACTGACTGAGTTTAGAAATACAAACAAGTAAACCATAACTCAATTTACGGGAACATGTTTTATCTACTGGGTTATCAGCCACACTAATTGTGCGTATGTCTGAGTGATATTATCCAGTAGTAGCCTAAGCTGAACTAAATGGGACGTGACTCCTGTTGCCCATCAAAAGACGTATGCACTACAGAAAAGTTAACTGCATGTTTAGATACGAAGACTTGAAGATGCTGGCCATCTTCAGCCATGTGTGTCCTAGACAGTAAAACAATGCGAGCAATGACGAGGTTAGCCACACAATATTAAGCACTAACACTAATATAATAACAATAAGGAGGGTAAGTGAATCAATGAGGCTATAAAGTTGCATCGATTGAAGTGGTCTGGACATGTGTTACGTATGCTGGACTATCGTCTTCCTCATTGAGCAACGTTAGCTAAAGAGGGTGGGCTGGGAAAGAGTTGAGAGCACTGACACCAACTAGTGGATCTTATCTTCAAATGGTACCACAGACAGAGGGGATCTAGTTACAATGTTTAGAACGTTGAGAAATGACTATGGGCCTGATTTCTCTTCTCTTTGCCCTCCCACCTAGTGGAGATATCTAAGAGGATATAGCAGAGACGTTCAACAACTAGGAACGAAATATATTGCTGTGGAATACTGTTTCTCCCACCGAGACACTAACACTCACAACTGACTACGTCTGTGGACACCTTTAGGCGAAGGCTGGACAATCATGCAGCGACACACGAACTGCGTTCAAATGGCCTATCCCCCCACTAAAATCCCATACACCATTCGGGGTAGACAATTAAGTTCGTCGTTTTTCTTCTTTACATCCTCCCGTATTAATCTCCTGACAACTCTAACTACACTTACTATTGCTATTACTGATATATATATATATATATATCAACTTCAAATTTAATTAGCTATCTGTTTCTATGTTTTCTTTATTTCTTTTTCGGTCTCTTAGTCTGAATAATCTACACTAATTACATCTGTCATTATTTTTATTATCCCTTTTCTTTTGTCGACGACACCGGAGGAATAACTGGTCAAAGGATCAACTCTATTCACAGTAATAACAGTCTTATCACACCTCATACAACAAACCACATATAACTAATCCTTTTAGAGTCAACCAAAGGTACGACATTCGATCGACCGGATGAGCCAAGCAGAATTTTACCGAAGATCAGGAACCTACACCTCACAATCAAGAGGCGAGCACAAAGAAATCAAATTGGTTTATACTAGCTAGTAAAAACGATACTGGATATATTGGACTCCCAAAAGAAGTAATGACTCAGTGAGTAGACGAGTGGTAAACACTAATGCCTTGTGGGATGGCGTTAAAACAGGCCTGCATATCCGTACACTTTATTACCACCCTTAATCCAAACAGATAGCTTGCGGCTTTCATGTCTTTAAGAATTGTAGAAAGAGTGCTCAAGCGAAATCCAAAACAAGCGTTTCGTAAATCACTCAGAATAACACCATAATACACGTACAAAACATCGTTAGAGAATAATCTATGACATAACATTATCAAAGTGTGTGTGAGTCATTATATACAGAGTAGGGATATGCATGTATGACACACGACTAACTAGCCTAAGCTAGCTGCTTAGCTGTCAAAACCACTGGGCATACTTTGACAAGTTTAGACACAAGATGCAAGGGAAGCGTATGCGCATTCACAATTCAACTACACTCTAGACAAATCTGTGTGATTAAAAACGGAACACTCATCACCGATACGATCGTATTATGAGATCGATCGAAACTATCATGTTTCTCTTACCTTCTTGATACCATACATTTCTTTGACCTTATCAGCATCTGCAGGTGATATTTCTAAAAGCAAGATGAAAACAGTTGAAATCAACACAAACTGGTGAATTTTTCCAGCAGTTCTAGATTCTCCAAAATGCGTTGTCTACGCAAATCCTCCATTTCAAAGTTTGGCGGAAGTGCAAGAAGCCACAACCGAAACTGAATAATGACAACTTAAACAATATTCAATATCCAGTGTTGTGTAATGAACTTCAACATACAATACCCTGTACACCATCTACTGCAAGCCACATTATCTCTTTAGGCTGACTTCAAGGTTTGAGTTGGAAACCGCTGTTCTTTAGTAAGCTTCAATGAACATTTCCCACCACCCACCTAACTTAAATTAGCTTGATTCCAAAGGGAGTGGTGCGAGGATAACGGATCTGACGGTGAAATTATGAGCTCTTCTTTTGAGAATTTGACAGAATAATGGCGTTTCCCTCGAACAGTCATCAACCAGCTACATTGCCTTTCTTCTCCTAGAGGGAAGGATAGAATATATTAGCTCCAAAAAGTATACACACTGACTTAACTTGAAGGAGTATATTGTCGTCAGAGAGAACTGAACACCAGCAGAACTCTAAAAACCATGTGAAATCCGCCTCACACATTTATTCCCTGAATTCTGGCGTCCCCTAACACTGATGCTCATTCTCCTTCAGATGTTCCAAGAAGAAACCAACCTCCACAGTGGGAGCAATCAGAAATTATTGACCATATAACATATTACGCAGGATGTTAAAGATTGTCAGCAGGGTAAGCAACGTGCCACTTAACCAGCTTGTTAATATTCTGGTCGACAGGCACATGGACTCATGTGAAAAGTGGGCTAACTCACACCACCCTCTTCATTCACAACTCTCCCCTTGCATCTCATCAGGCAAAACCAGAAGCCTATATAGAAAACTATATGCTCGCACCAGCAAGTACAAAAACTCAACCATACCCTACTTAGCTCGTGTTCTGTGCGATAAAGAAAGCATTAGGCGTGATACCTATAATTCATTAAATAGTCAGCAGAACAACTGGATCTCGTCTTTCCAACTCTCATCATCAATAGGTACAATATTTTCTTTCTTTCTTTTCCTTTCCTCTCTCTTTTTTTCCGTTATTTGCTGCTTTGTTTCTTTCTCTCGCTTACGCCAGTAAATATGAAAGCTCCTGCTTTTCCAACACCTTCAAACACTGTTCAATTTTGGCTTTGCTACCGACATGCCAATATGTTGTTGTCATAATGAACTGAGATTTCCTTAATCTATGTGGAATTTTATTTACTGTTAATGCACTAACTGGATGCAATACTGTAGTAAAAATGCTGAGAATTCCATTTTGTATCACAAGTCCTGTTTTGGAATAAAGCAAATTATTATTATTCACACAAATCCATACGCACGCGAGGCTCTCCTGATCACGTTTTGCTTCCCTGTTGCAGTTAATACTATCCCACAGGACGTCTCATTATATTCTCTAGGCCCTGCAACTATTCTTAGCTATCTTAGCCACCAATCTACCAATAATGTTCCCCTAAACCCTGCGGTCAACTTCATGTTGGAGAATTCAGCGCCTAGGGCTCATTTTGAATCGACCGATCTGCCACACTATTCATCTCGAGAAATGGATGTATATTGTATCTCTAGGTCATTCGCACGTGGCCCAAATCTGCATTTTCACATAACATCGAATTTCGGAAGTGGTGAATCCATAAAATGAACACCACATGCGTCAGAAGAATACTTGGCTGGTTACGAGACCTTGGTAATGCAGGAAAGGCGCTGAACGTAGAGGCAGAGACATCTGCGCTTCGGTAGACTCCAATAGACGATCCTGTGTACACTGTCGCGTAGAACAGATTGACAAGGAGAAGATAAGATTGAAATGCCCGCTTCAGTAAATTCATCATATCCGTCTAAACCTCAATCGACTGCAGCTCGGAAAAAGTAAAGAATGAGCTGAATCAGAAGTCGCTGCCCTTAACAAGACGCAAGCTCTTAATAAATAAATAAATAAATTTATTCTCATAGTACAGTACTTGAGGGACGCCAGTTTACAGGCATCATCAAATTGTTACAGAAATAGAACCATATAATTCTATCACAATTTACAGATGGTAGCAAGATATGCTTTACATGTTCGCTGGAGATTATACATACACTTGATAAATCTTAATCCCAGTAATATGAAACAGTCTTTTCAATCATTTCTGTGCACAGTTGTAAAAATCTGCTAGCTTGTCAGTGAGTGCAACACATCAGGAAATACAGAAGTATTGTCTTCGCATTAACAAAAACACCAGGTCTTTGGTGGAAGGATTATGAGTGCCTGGGAAAAATATGAAGCTTGAAGTCAATTTTCATGCATAACTTTGTTGTATGCAGAGTCCTTGAATTATAGTTCATTGATGTATTATTTGGAAATCAGTGATTCGTTTATCTCATTTGATCTGAAATGTCATTGTTGGGAGTAAATACATAAGCTTTAGACGCATTAATTAATGGATTTCTACCGCTCGTGGGTATTTTCTTAGCGTGAGGAAGGTTTATGAATTTCAGCTGTTCCGACAGGAGTTGAGAATATTAACTGCTCAGCAACATTATGGATATAAGTTCACCACATTATCTTAGGAAAGGTTGGTTGTAGTTGGTGAGGTATATATAGTGCCCAACTAGCGTACATCTGTCCATGTGATGTTGTGGTGAGCTATACCTTTTTCATGTTATCGGTTTATGTCAATTTTATTCCACTTATTGTGTTGGGTAGAAGTTTTACAAACGAAATTTCTTGTCTGTTTGAGGGTACGTATCTTAACCGTTAATGTTTTATCTAAAATTATAAATATAGGCAACGCATTCACAGATGCTGTTTATATATATTGTGAATAGGAGTGGGCCTAATACACTTCCCCGGATTACACCACTACTTACTGGTTTAGGCCTTGAGATTATCGAGCCAACTTTCGTTGTCTGACTTCAGCCACAGAGAAATGATTTTATCCAGCTCAGGAGAGGGTCACATATCCCTAGTGAGCATAACCTGCTGACTAGCAGATTATGGGGAACTCTGTCGAAGGCTTTTGTTATGTCGAAATATAGCACAACTACTAGTTCTCTGTTGTCCCTACTTCGTGTAACTTCGTTGAAAAAATCTACGTGACAGGTCACACATGATCTCTTTTTGAGGAATCCATGCTGTGATGGATTGATAAGTTCATGTTCTAGTAAGTTGTCTGACACTTGGTCTTTAACCACTTTCTCCATTTTTCGTGATATCGCCGGTGTTATATTGATAGGTGTATAGTTGCATGCACTGGTTTTGGCCCCTGCTTTGTGCTTAGGTAATATATATGTGGTTTTCCACACTTCAGGATAAGTTCCAGTTTCCAGTGAGAGAGTAAATATTCTAAGTAACAAGACTACCATTTCCGTGCTACCATTTTTTCATATGACAGATGGTATGTCGTCTGTTCCAGTACCACCATTAGACTTCAATGTTTTAATCGTTGAGTCTATATTTTGTATATTAAAGTGTATTTCGCCTAATTTGTGGTTACTTTTGCAGGTCATTTGAAAATTTGGGGTCGGGTGCACTCTGGTGTCATTGCAAAACCACTCACTGAGGAGTTCACTTATAACCTGTGGATCATTGTATATTATACCCTTATGTTCCAAGCTGCTTACACTATTATCTTTACTGCTTTTTAGACGTTTCTGCAATATCCAACAAAGTTCCTGAGTTTTGGAGTTACCCTTAAGCGCTTTATTTTCTTCAAGTTGTGACATCATTTTGTGTTTCTCTCCAAGCAGTTGAAGAGTTTCATGTATTTGGTTTAACGCATTAAATTCCTTAAATACATGGTATTTCTTTTCCAATTTCTTTAGTTTTAGTCGCGGTTTGCATTCTATAAATGGAGTTGGTGTTTTGGAGCAGATTTTAGGGGTGCGATTGTGTCTCTTGCTGAGCCAATTGTTTTGTAGAAAATGTCAAGTGATACTTCTAAGTTATTGTTGATAAAGTATTCTTCCCAGTCATAACTTCTCAACAGATCTGATAGGAATTCCCCATCAGCATTCTTATAGTCCCTATATTGATAGTGCACCGGGGAGATTTTAGGCGTATTTAGTTTTTAGTCGGAGGGGCAGCGTGCAGTACAATATGTTGTGATCACTGTCATCGAGTTTATTTCCTACATCTATCGAGATGGGCTCTATTTTATAACAGAGGATTAAGTCAAGAGTATGTTTGTTTCCTGTAGGAAGGCGTACGCACTGCTTCCATCCGCCTACGTCTATAGCTTGTAGTAGCTCGTCATGGATTCTAGGTCCTGTGCAGGTATCCCAGTTTACACCAGGTAAGTTGGAATCGCCACAGACTACTTTGTAGTCGAAGTCCAGCGTAGCTACATGCTCTAGTATTTTTCCAATAGTCATATCAGTCATTTCAGGGCCATTAGGGGGTCCGTATATACATCCCACGAGAATGTTATCTTAGTGTGGATACCTATGCACTTCGATTCCGGGAGATTGTCAGTAGTTGGGTTATTGAAAGTATCGGAGTTAGTGGATTTAGAGGCATATATTAGGCAACCGCCTCCTCTTTTGTCAACTCTACCGTTCCTATATATGTCGTAGTTGTCTATTACTAGCTTTGTGTCAGCTATATCAGTAGTAAGCCAGGTTTCGGTCACCACTAATAGTGTTGGCCGTTCCATGTATGCCAGACAGCGAAGCGATGTAATTTAATTATGAAGAGATCTAGCATTCAGTAGCATAATCCTTAGTAAACCAGAGTTATTGGAGGAGAGGTTAACATGGTTACTTGTTACTATCCCTACGTTATGTTTGGAGGGACTGTGAGGTGAGACAGAGTCAGCGTGTGTACTACTTCCTGGATGAATTGTGCAGCGAGTGGGACTATTGTTTGCTGCAGCCGAAAATAATCCTGTTGCATATTTCGACTTTTAGCATCCATGGGTGGGCATCTGCGTTCATTTACTGGTGATATGTAGTTTGCCTTGCTATTTGCGTTGCAGTTTGCTGGACCCAGGTACCCTATGTTAAGATCACCTTGGTAGTTGTACCTCATGGGGCTTCCGTAGTCGTATGCATATTGGCTCACATCACGTGTGTGAATGAAGTTATTGGGGGGATCAAGTGTCGATCTATACTCATTATGTTGATGAGGTTTAACATAGATAGTGCGAGAGTTTGGACGAGAATTTTCATTAATATGGTGCCTATATGAGTCCTGTTTATCTCTCCGTATATGTGGTATATATATTTCCTGTTTATGCAGGAACATACCAATTGTAAAGGTATGGATGAACTAGTATATAAATTACACATATTTCGATGTAATGTGAATTTACAGTTTGGTTGTTCTTTCTGACATTAGAGTCAGTTGGAACAGTCTGCTAAATAGTGTGTCTGTTTAACACATAACGAGATATAGAAATATTGTCTTCGCATCAGCAAATCCCAGACATCAGATGAATGTAATACAAACATCTGGGAAAAATAAAGCTTGAAGTCAATCTTTACGTCGTTGGCGTATAGAAGAGCCGAGCAGCTTAGACGGCATGGTAAGTCGTCGACAAAAATGAAAATATCAGTGGTCTTAGGATAGAGCCCTTCGACACTCTCGATGGCGAATTGTGCCAGGATGATAGGACTCAATTGACCTTAGAGCAGAATCTCGTTT